ACTCGGGGACTGCGCCTATCTGATGAGCCCCAAGAAGGGCGAAACCGGTCGTGGGCTGTCGAAGAGTTTTCAGCAACCTCATTAGTAGTGCATCACAAATATTAAAAATCTGTCCACCGTCAGCCAAGCACTTGTTTGTGACCACCATCAACCTAAGGACTGTTGTCACATCGAGTTTTCACTCCAGATTACCCCCCAATTGTTTGGTGGACTTCACTGGCGGTGACGCATCCAACCCTCAACATGCTGTCGCGCACCCATTTAACAGCGACCTTCCGAATTCCCGTCACAGTTGTGGTCAGACTGCTGTTCACACAGACTGCAGGACTGAAACTTCATCCAGCTATGCCCGAGCTTAGGAGTGACCCGAATTCGGTCACCAGGTAATGAACAAACATGAACTCAATCTCTACTAGTTTATGTGACCATCTGGCCTCCCAGTCGAGTATAAGCACGTTATCGGATCGATGAGTTAAGCAACCACGAATGTGGTTGCCTGGCATGCCGAGACAACTTCAGTTCGGTTGCTCCCTCATGTACTTGATGATCAGACAATCTATACACATGTTGTTGTCCCGGCAACCGTGTCACGTTTATCTTGCTTGATAAAACAGTATTTTCAGCAATAAGTTCTGCTTTCCGACTGTAGTACATCCACTCAAGTTAGCTGTTTGTCTACAGTCAGGGAGGTTACCCAGGGCAGTTCGAATATAGCTGGGGTTGTCGTCCAAGAGGCGAGTATTCTGGAAGAGCGATCTGACTCGGAAACCATTTGGGTTTCTGCAGTTCAAAGCCATTCAAACCGTCGTTGTTCAAGGAAAAATGCCTCAACAGCACAGCCAAGACGGTTAGTCGAAAATCGGTGTGAATAGTGCACCTCAAGATCGACTGGGAATACGCGGAAGAATGGAGAGTGATATTTCAACAGCTTTAGTCTGACACATCTAAGACACCTATGCAAGTACTCACAAATTGCATATAGGGAGGCTGTTTTGTTTCGGAAATAGACGAGGTGTTTGTTGAGATGAAAAAAATGGATACTCACATTCATCGGCAAAGCTATTTTGCACCGCTTGTTGTATACAGTTCCCAAAGTCCGTCTGACATATTTGGCTGTACGTGGCAAGTCCCAAATCCATTCACTCGCGGCCGAACGGCTAGCTGGAAGATTGCAGTTTAGAAACTCCCCACCGTGGTTTCCGGAGAAGTCGACTGCGGATGATTCTCAATAAGGAAGAGACAGTGCTTACTTACAGGATGGGAATTTGTTGTCCCACAATAAATCAGCAACCTCATTAATCCTCTGTATATTAGCGAATGTTCAATTGGAGTGCATAAGATGATTGCAACTGGGTAACTAGCCTGGCTAACAAAGCTTGAGCCTTAGACTACACTGTAGGGTGCTTTTATGGCCCATCGTCAGAAGACATCCGAGCTAGTGGTGTTTTGCCCGAACTGCGCCAGCATTGCTCCCTTTAGCCCTTGGCGTGCCCTATTCACGCCACACAGAGTGTGCGAGATCAATTATCTTTGTGAGACATGCCGCATATTTTCCATTTCGAAGCCCAATTTTTACGAGGGTTGGTTAATCAGCATCATCATCGACAGCATGATATCACAGTTCAGCACCGATGCTCAACCGCCGTACAACCATGATTTATTTGAAAGCCTAATTGTAGAGAAAAGAATAAAGTTGCACGGGAACTGACTTGGTGCTAGTTTACCACAATCATTCCGAGGTGCCTACACCTCTGGACATTCACTCACGCACTCTGGATAGAAACTGACAACAAGAACGCCACTGACATCGATTGGCAGCCATATCTTGTAAGGTCTCCAACCAGGCACAGTGAGGATCACGCGGTCCCCATCCTGGAAGGCGAGTAGCACCGACAGCACCCAAGCGTT